CCCACCCTCGCGCACACACACCCCTCTCTCAAAATAATTGCTTAGCTGCACCCACCTCCAAGAGTGGGAATCAATGAGGGGGGGAGGGGAGAGCCGTCCATCAGGGGCCCCCACCCCTTCGCCCAGGGCTTGTCCAACGCGGAGGCAGCGGCGGCAGCTGCAGCAGCTTGGCTAATGCCCCCTTCACTCCCTCCCTCCCTCTCTCTTCTACCCCGCCCCCTCCTCCTCCTCCCCCTCCCCCCGGGAGGCATGGGCTCAGCCATAGGGCAGAGCAATGCAAAACACCCCACACACACACACAAAGAGGGAAGGAAGAGGAGAGGGAGCCAGGCAAAGTTTGCAAAGCGAGCGGCCACGGCGAGTTGCGAGGGCTCTCGTTTCCAATAGCGCGCTTTGCAAAAATTAAAACGGGGGGGGGGGGGAATAATGCATAAAAAAGAGGCACGTTAATACTGTATTCTATATATATGTGTATGTATGTATTGCACACGCCGGGGGTTCTGTTGTTGGGCTTGCACGCCGGGGGTGCAATTGAGGAGCCGCTGCAAAATGCCATCGCGGCTCCTCTCCGGCGCGCACAGCGCGCTGCGCGGAGTCCGCTCGCCCTTCCTTTGTGTGGGCTCCCCGCGCGGACTTGGGGGGCGGGCTTTGCATGCAGCGCAGCGCCAGGCAAACCCGGGGAACGGCGGCGGCGGTCCGGCCAGCGCCGCACACGTGTGCGCGCATCCGCACGGGCATGCATACACACCCCCTGCCGGGAGCGCGGCGGAGCCCCGGAGTCCCCCGCTCGGGCGGCCGCTTACCTTTTCGCCGGCATGCTTGGGGCCAGGGGGTTTTCCCGGGCGGGTCCCCCGTCGCAGCCACCTCTTCCACCACCTTCGCCGCCGCCGCCTCCTCGCTCCTCGCCTGTCCTCCCGGCTTATAGCAGCCCGTTCCTTATCTCACAGCCTTCCTCTCAGCGCCATCTTGTAAGCTGGTGACGTTGGGAGCCGCTCACCCCTGACCCACATTTGAATATAAGCCAAAATGGGCAAGGGAGGAGAAAAAAAAAGGGAGAGAGAGAAGGGGAAGGGGTGTGCGCGGAGGGGAAACGTGGAATGGGGGGAAGGAAGGCGCAAGAGCCGCTAAAGGAGGAGAAAGGAACGAGCCTTTCCACGGCTCTTCCCCTTCTGCAACTTCGGGGGGTCAACGTTTGCATTTGTTTATTGCTATCATTTTTGCTATTGGGGGGCGATGCGTCTTGCAAAAGCGGGAAGGGGCTGCGCGGGCAGGGGGAGGTCCCCTCTCACCTTTTGAACGCGCCCAGAAACACGCGCGCACACCCTCGCCGCCCGCTTCCCACCACACCCCCTTGCCAATTGCGCGCCGGCATCTGGAGAGCGGAGCGGAGTGCGCGGCTGGCCAAGCGGGCGCGCGTGTCTTCCCCGCGCGCGGAGGGAAAGTGGGGCTCCTCGGTCAGTCATTCATTCATTCATTCCTTTTTAATTCGAACTCTCCCTTCGCCCCCAGCTTCCCATATATTCTGCCTGTGGTAGATGGAATGCAAAAGGAAGGCGCGCCATCGTTGCGCGAGCGAACCTTTTGGATCGTACGGTTTTTTGGATGCAAGTTTTCTTTTGGGGAGGGTGGGCGTCTTGGAAGCACCCACACCCGTGTATAAGGGGTGGGGAAGCCCGATTGTGTTTATGCATCTTGGCAGATGCTGCGGGTTTGGGATATATTTGCACACCCGTGTAAATGCACGCGCAACGATTGGTTTTTGAAGCGCGCAAGTTCTGGAGGACAAGGAGGGCACGGTCCTGAAAGCACTTAAGGGCAGCGACGCTCCTGTGGATTATGGGGGCGGGGGGGAGGGATGAGCTTCGTTTAAAGTTGTTCCGAGATAAGGTCCTCTTTTCTCCCCGTTTCCTGAGAGTGAACCAGCGCAGGGGAATTCTGTGCCTGTCTACTGGGAAGTAAATCCAGTGGCGGTTGCTTTCAGTGAGACTTGCTCTCGGGTAAAAGTGGAGAGGCTGGCCGCCTAAGCACGTTCAATCGCCTATGAAAAGCGAAGATGTGTTGGTCCATAAGGAAACTGGAAACTTCTAAAGCTACCAGCCTAACTCCACTTACTTGGGAGTGAGCCCCGTTGAATTCAGTGGGGCATGGCTCAGAGTAGACCTGGTGAGGGCTTTGCAGACAAGCCTTGATCATCCAAAATGTCAAGCTGGCAAGTTCTCCAGAACTCTTTTGTGCTGACTCGGGAAGAAATACAGCTCCAAAGCCCTGCAGTTCAATAAAATTCACATTTTACTAAATTTCATCTACTGTTTGGTAGGATAGGGGAGCGCAGAGAAGTAATCTCTTTTGTGGAATGGCTGTGCTGGCTGGGTCTGGTGGAGTTTCCAGCTTCTGGAGAGAAAAAACTAGGTTGCTGCCATAGAACGTGCCATGTTTTGAGTCAACCATGCATAGGATTTGTGCCGCAGTTGTGGCAGAACCTTTCGGGGGACCCCTTCACCAGATACATGAAGTACTGCCCTCGGTGGACAGATACCTGCACAGGGGCTTTATCAAATTTACTAATAGGGAGCTAACTCATCCCGAGTGGGTATGTAACCAAAACCTCATCTGTGCATGAGAGGGATGTTATTAGCAGATCTGGGGGAACCCCAAGATTTGCAGACTTACAGCAAACAGACACACTTTAATCGTATGGGAGGGGCAACAAAGCACAGCTGAATGAGTGGCAGAAAAGCAGGGGAAGGGATGGAATGGAGTGTTCCTGAAAAGGGCATGCCTTCTTTCATATGGGGGTGGAAGGATCTGGCCATTTGTTGTTCTCTGTTCCTCAAACTTCTTCCTTCTCCACTCCCCTTGGGGCAAGATGGTCCTCCAGGTAGAAGCATCAGTCACTGCCTGGTGGTACAAAGCCAAAACATAGACCAATATGCTACTGTCATGCTGCTGACCTACACCTGACTCCCAACCTGACAGAGGCTTTACTAGCTGAATTTGCTCAGAAATACCGAATTTTTCGCTCTGTAGGACACACCCGACCATAGGACGCACCTTGATTTAGAGGGGGAGAACAAGGGAAAAAAATCTCCCCCTCTCAGCTCAGTGCCCCTTCAGCGAAGCGACAGGAGAAACGGAGCCCCTTCCATTTCTCCTCCCGCTTCGCTGAAGGGGCGCTGCGCTGCTCTCCCTCTCTGCTGAAGCCAGGAGAGTCTTGCTCTCCTAGCTTCAGCAAAAGGAACCCAAAGTCTCTGGAGTGCAGCGAGACCTCCTGCTGTGCTCCGGAGGCTCCAGGCTTCAGCGAAAGCAACGCGAAGCCTCCGGAGCGCGGAGGGAGCGCTCCATCTGCACTTTGGAGGCTTTGCGTTGCTATTGCTGAAGCCAAGGAGCTTGCATTCGCTCCATAGGACGCACACACATTTCCCCTTAATTTTTGGAGAGGAAAAAGTGCATCCTATAGAGCAAAAAGTACGGTAGGTGTTGAGTTTAGTGGGACTTCTCTCCCTTCCTGCAAGTGCACTTAGAGGAAGCAACATAGCCTAGCAGGTAGGGAGTCTGCTTTGAATGCCAAAGTTCCCAGGTTAACTCAATGGCATCTCCCACTTGCTTGCCTGAAACCCTGGAGAGATGCTGCTCAGCGTAGACAACTGAGCTAGATGGACCGGTTTGTTCATCGCTGGTTTGCAAGGACGACATCGCACTGTTTTGTAGCCAATCACGTTTGTCAACGTGGTGACATCACTGAGGGCAAACAAGCAAGGGCAGTGGCTATCCCAAGGTGGACTGTCCCAAATACCTTGGAAACACATAGCAGCTGGGATGACATCATGACGCGACGCAGCCAATCAGATTTGGCAATGGGCCAACATCCCAGGTAGCAATGGTTAAGTTATTCAGGATGAAGCCCGTTTCTCCCAGACAGGTGAAAGCATTCAGAAGCAATTGCAGAAGGCCCTCTACAGGGTGGTATTTTTTCAACACCTCACCCCACTTTATCTCAGCTGTAGTTTTAATTGTTATACTGGTGCTTTTTTTTTTTTTAAGTATTTGTAATTTGCAGCCTGCCTCCCCCTCCTTACTATGGCCTCTTAGAAGGGTTATAAATTTTTAGAAAATAGTGATGTCTGGCCAGCTCAGTTAACCTTGTCTGCCAGTAACTTTGCTTTGATTGTTAACTTAAGAGTTAAGAGTTCAAAGTTTTAGACTCAGAGGTCTCTCATTCCAATCCAAAGGGCTTGGCCGGACAAATAGAGATAAGAGAGACCCAGCAAAGTGTCAGAAGAGACCCGACCTTTCGTCTTCTCCCTGCTCACAAAAAGAGAAGGAGGCCTCAGATGTGGCAGCAATGGTCAAGCAGATCCTGTATTCACACAAACGTTTATTCCATTTCCTCTACGTTTCTCTAACTGTCCATCTCCATGTTATATTTGAGCATTCACACTTGGGACAAAAGCCACGTCCCGAAAAGCAAGGGAATATAGTGCATGTTTTGTGCTTGCTTCTGAGTTACAGTGGTACCTCAGGTTACATACGCTTCAGGTTACATACACTTCAGGTTACAGACTCCGCTAACCCAGAAATAGTGCTTCAGGTTAAGAACTTTGCTTCAGGATGAGAACAGAAATCAGGCTCCGGCTGTGCGGCAGCAGCAGGAGGCCCCATTAGCTAAAGTGGTGCTTCAGGTTAAGAACAGTTTCAGGTTAAGAACGGACCTCTGGAACAAATTACCATATTTTTTGCTCTGTAATACTCACTTTTTCCCTCCTAAAAAGTAAGGGGAAATGTGTGTGTGTCTTATGGAGCGAATGCAGGCTGCGCAGCTATCCCAGAAGCCAGAACAGCAAGAGGGATTGCTGCTTTCACTGCACAGCGATCCCTCTTGCTGTTCTGGCTTCTGAGATTCAGAATTTTTTTTTTCTTGTTTTCCTCCTCCAAAAACTAGGTGTGTCTTGTCGTCTAGTGCGTCTTATAGAGCGAAAAATACGGCGAGTACTTAACCCAAGGTACCACTGTATTTGATTCCAGGGGGCAGGGAGCAATTTGCAGCCCCCCTCAAGCCAAAAAATTGTGGAAGTAAAGTGACAAAATTTGGGCATACAGTTCTTTCCTGCTGTTATCATGGGGGAATAGGAACCTGCATGTGTGGAAAGGCAGCAGGGGCCAAGAGGAAGTAGCCGCATTGTCCAATGATTTCTGTTGTTGTGACATAACACGGCCACTGATGTGAATGAAATTTAGCGCATCATGCTGGTATATCGGTCAAAAAGCCACAGCTCCATAATGCAACAGTCTCTGCAGTGTGAAAGGAATGTTAGGAAACGAGACAGAAGCAGTAACATTATAATAAAGAAAATGATTGCAATATTCCCCATATCTGGAGACATCCTGAGAGTACAAAAGACAGGGAAATAATAGATAGGGATTGATCCAAGACATTTGCCCACATTCCCAGGGATTGCTGAATGAAAATTATTTTTTAAAAAAAATAATATTTTTTTTTAAATTTTCAAACATAATAATTGTCATACATTCCACAAAATTTCTTCTCTTATACAATCTTTTTGGACTTCCCTCAGCACCTCTGATGATCTTCCATTTTTATAATTTATTCTGCATTTCTTAAATTCATATTGCCTTAATTATCCTAACTAATGTTATCCTTTTCATTCAATAAAGCAATAATTCCAATTATTTACCTTACAAAACTTCTTGTAAACCTACAAATGTAATCTGGTCATCACAACTACTTTTCAAATAGTCTGTAAATTTACGCCAATCTTCTGTGAATCTCTGGTTCCGCCGGTTTCGAATTCTTCCCGTTAGTTTATCTAGTTCTGCATAGTCCATCAGTTTCATCCTCCAGTCTTCTTTCATCGGTAATTCTTCTTGCTTCCAATTTTGTGCCAATAATATTCTTGCTGCCATCATTGCATACAGAAACAACTTACAGTCACTTCTAATTATATCATCTCCAACAATGCCTAGTAAAAATGCTTCTGATTTTTTAATAAACGTATATTTCAACATTTTTTTCATCTCATTATATATCATTTCCCATAAGTTTTTTACCTTTCAATACTCTGTGCCAAATGTGGCAAACTCGGCCCTCCAGATGTTCTGGGACTACAACTCCCATTATCCCTAGCTAACAGGACCAGTAGCGGTCGGGGATGATGGGATTTGTAGTTCCAAAACATCTGGAGGGCCGAGTTTGCCTATGCCTGCTCTTTGCTGTGTATAGATGGGAGAATCTGGCCCTGCCTGCGCGATGCATGTAAAAGGACTGCTGTGCTACTAAACAGCCATGGCTGCCCTCAAAGCATCCTAGGAACTGTAATTCATTACAGTTGCTGAGAGTCGTTAGGGGAACCATTTTCAAAGAGCTCGGGAAGAGGGATTGATCGTTGTAAACCACTTGGGGAAGTTTGGGCCATGGTTGCGTTTTCTGTCCTAGGAGAGGCTTGGCCCTTTGAATTTCTGCCTGCCACACCACTGTTAAAAGAGCCCTTTTGTTCTCCCCCCCCCCCCGTGGCAAATCCAAACCATGGAAAGAACACACATTTTGTGAGTTGCAAGCAAATTGTGTTACTTGAGCTCATTCCTCAATTGGTCTTAGGCAGGGAATACAGTGCACGGCCAGGAGGTGTGGAATATCAAATAGTGGTGTGTTTGTGTAACAAAAGAGCTTTAAGGTTTACAGCAGGGTTTTGCAAACTTGGGTCTCCAGCTGTTTTGGGACTACAACTCCCATCATCCCTGACTACTGTTTCTGCTAGCTAGGGATTGTTGTTGTTGTTGTTATCATTATCATTATTACAATTGTTGTTGTTGTTATTTATTGAATTTATATACTGCCCTAAACCTGGAGGTCTGAGGGCGGTTCACAGAACAAAATCAAAATATATAACCACAAAATATATAACCAAAATAAAAACAACAACCCAATAACACCCCCCCAAAAAACACCCCATTTTAAAAGGGCATGTTGTTTAGTCGTTTAGTCGTGTCCGACTCTTCGTGACCCCATGAACCAGAGCACACCAGGCACTCCTGTCTTCCACTGCCTCCCGCAGTTTGGTCAAACTCATGCTGGTAGCTTCGAGAACACTTTCCAACCATCTCGTCCTCTGTCGTCCCCTTCTCCTTGTGCCTCCATCTTTCCCAACATCAGGGTCTTTTCCAGGGAGTCTTCTCTTCTCACGAGGTGGCCAAAGTATTGGAGTCTCAGCTTCACGATCTGTCCTTCCAGTGAGCACTCAGGGCTGATTTCCCTAAGAATGGAGAGGTTTGATCTTCTTGCAGTCCATGGGACTCTCAAGAGTCTCCTCCAGCACCGTAATTCAAAAGCATCAATTCAAATCAACCTAAGGCCTGGTTAAAAAGGAACATTTTTGCCTGGCACCTAAAGGTGTATAATGATGGCGCCAGGCGAACTTCCCTGGGGAGAGCATTCCACAGACGGGGAGCCACTGTTCTTGTGTTGCCACCCTCCAGACCTCTCAAGGAGGAGGCACGCAAAGAAGGGCCTTGGAAGATGATCTCAAGATCTCTAGACAATTCGACAATAAATGAACACTTCCGACGTGGGTTGCCATGCGTCCGGGTTTTCCCAGACATTTAAAACCGATTTTACAAAATTCTCCCCGGACTCAATTTTGGACGGGCGAATCCCAGCTAAGTCTGGGAAATTCCGGACCTATGGCAGCCCTAATGCATGGTGTGGATGCAACATTTAAAATGCCAGTTAGAAAAAAGATGTTAACAAGCTTACTGGTGCAGCAGGAGACCTTTGCATGCGTAAGAGTTGGCAGCTAAGTCTCAGCTGGCCTCATGCCAGACACTTCACTGGACTTTGCTGCAAGATTTGGGTTCTCAGTACACATGAGCGTCTTGCAGATTTTCTTTTTTATTACTATTATTTGGGCCAGTCCGAGCAGCTCGAGATTGCGAGTTGAAAGTCCAATTCCCTGCCTGCCCTGCCAATGCATCGCAGATCTCGAAAAATCACCGATCCCAGCGATAGCGTCTTGACAAAGGGAAGTGTGATTTATCGGAGTCAAGGCTGCCAACAGTTTGCCAGTTTGGTGCCCGGGTAGAATTTAATTTCAGGAACGCCTCTCTCGGCACTTTGAGAATTGCCTGCCTTGCAAGGATTCCGAGGTTGCTCCCCAGCCAAGACAGCCTAAAGCTAAGGAAGGAATGGAATTTATCCCAGAAGAGCTATAAAAAGAGAGAGAGAGAGAGAGAGCTGGCACAAGCCGTGTGTGTGTGTGTGTGTGTGTGTGTGTGTGCATATGCAAGCACTTCCTTCAATTGCAGCTCTAATAAGGTCCCAAAGGGCTGCTGCAGTTGTCCAGCGATGCAGTAATAGACCCAGGAAGCGTGGGCAAGCTTGATCAGCTCAAAAAGTTAGCCAGATTAGGGTGGCTGAGCAATGTAATTACAAACAGATGACCCACTCTGGTGGAACCCAGCTGCAACGAACAAACTTGCAGCAAGCTCTTTGCAGTACGATTAAAGCGAATTCTCCAGTATTTGTCCTAGCTGTGGCATCTCTCTTCCAAGTCTGAGCCACACAGTCATGGTTTCTGCTACATTTTTCATAGGGATGCCTTAAGCAGAGTTTGTCCCACCCGAGCTGGCAGCTGCTCTCCAGGCTTCTGGAGAGAGAGTCTGCCACCCATCTCTGCACCAGTTCTCTTAATGCAGAGGTACTCTTTGGACAAAGGAATGAGGGTGGCGCTGTGGTCTAAATCACAGAGCCTAGGGCTTGCCGATTGGTAGATCGCGGTTCGAATCCCCGCGATGGGGTGAGCTCCCGTTGTTCGGTCCCTGCTCCTGCCCACCTAGCAGTTCGAAAGCACGCCAGCGCAAGTAGATAACTAGGTACCGCTGCAGCGGGAAGGTAAATAGCGTTTCCATGCGCTCTGGTTTCACCAGAAGCGGCTTAGCCATGCTGGCCACATGACCCAGAGGCTGTACACCGGCTCCCCCGGCCAGTAAAGCGAGATGAGCGCCGCAACCCCAGAGTCGTCCGCGACTGGACCTAACGGTCAGGGGTCCCTTTACCTTACTCCACACATGTACCCATTTTACAGATGGAAAAAGAGGGTCTTTGGGTCCAGTTCTGGGCTGGGCATCTTAAGAAGGACAGGGGCAAACTGGAGCCTATCCAGAGGAAGGCATTTAGGCTAGTAAGGGTTCGGAAAACCAGGTTCCTATGAAGAATCGTCAAAAGTCAGGCAAAAATGTTCCTCTACAACCAGACCTTTCACCTTTTATCTGTGGCCTTTTAGAAGCGGGTGGGATGTTTGTAATGTATTCCTCTTCCCTCCTGGGTTTAATCCATCTATAGAGTGCTTATTGTCTGCTTGATTGCTTGTAAGTCGCTCTGGGTCGCCCAAGATAAAGCAATTGCCAAATTTAATAAATAATAAATAAAATAACTTCCCAACAGGCTGGGCCTCTGGGGACCAAACCGTATTGTGGCATCCACCGAGAGCCGTTCCTGAAACTTGGAGCGATTGAAAACTCAAGGACGAATCAGGCCGGCGGGTGAACAATACGGTTCACAGGCACCACGAGGCTGCGGTTTTAGCCATCTTCTGCATTGAACAGTCATCGTAGCCAAAAGCACACCATTTCACACCGTGTAATGCAGGGTGACAACAGAGCAAAAGACAAAAGGGTTCAAGGGTTGACGATTCTTCAGCTGCAGATAGAGGCCTGATTATGGGGCTTGGAAGGAGTTCAACCATTTTACTTGATGGTATTTGGGGAGCCTTTGCTTTCCGAGATCTGCCACTGGCTACATTTTTTTAGCCTCCATTCCTGCCTTCCCCATTGTTAAAACACAAAAGGGCACCCAGCCTGACCCTCACGAGACATAGTTAATTGGGGGGAAAGCCACCAGTCAACTGCTGGCGTGCACACAACACAGATTACTGTACAAAGGAAACAAAAATTGACCTGAGTAAAATGCAGTCTGCATTATTATTATTATTACCTGGCCTATCTGGCTGGGTTTCCCCAGCCACTCTGGGCAGCTTCCAACAAAATATTAAAATAGTCTATTAAACATTAAAAGCTTCCCTAAACAGGGCTGCCTTCAGATGTCTTCTAAAAGTCTGGTAGTTGTTTTTCTCTTTGACATCTGGTGGGAGGGCCTTCCAGAGGGCGGGTGCCACTACCGAGAAGGCCCTCTGCCTGGTTCCCTGTAACTTGGCTTCTCACAGCGAGGGAACCACCAGAAGGCCCTCAGCGCTGGACCTCAGTGTCCAGGCAAAACGATGGGGGTGGAGACGCTCCTTCAGGTATACTGGGCCGAGGCCGTTTAGGATTTTAAACACTTTGAATTGTGCTCGGAAGCGTAATGGGAGCCAATGTAGGTCTTGCAAGACCGGTGTTATGTGGTCTCGGCAGCCACTCCCAGTCACCAGTCTAGCTGCCGCATTCTGGATTAGCTGCAGTTTCCGGGTCACCTTCAAAGGTAGCCCCACGTAGAGCGCATGGCAGTAGCATCAGAAGCTGAGCGTCCAGATCAAGGGAAGAAATAGTACCACTCCATCCTGCCTTGTTCAGACCACACTTGGAATGCTATTCTGGGCAACACAGTTTAAGAAGGACATTGAAGTACATCTGGATTTCCATTGTGGGAAACAAATGTTCACATAGAAGGCCCTGTAGTCAAAGCCAGCAAGGATCTTGTTCAAGCTTCCTCAACCTCGGCCCTCAAGATGTTTTGAGACTACAGTTCCCATCATCCCTGACCACTGGTCCTGCCAGCTAGGGATCATGGGATTTGTAGGCCAAAAGCATCTGGAGGGCCGTGGTTGAGGAAGCCTGATCTTGTTACACCCTAATGGAGGCACTATGCTTCCATTACTTTGGGATGAGGTCTGTATAAAGATGTTTGGAGAAGGAGTGGTTACGTTGTTTTGAAATGATGTAGCCCATTTTAACAGGTGGCGCTGTGGGTTAAACCACAGAAGCCAAGGACTTGCCGATCAGAAGGTCGGCAGT